AGAATGATCTGCAGGGCTAGATTTTGAACTGACTGCTCAGGGCACAGGGTAAAACAAAACAGGTCTGAGTTTCTTTGAAGCCAAGCAACAGAATGTACAAAGTAGCTCAATTAGTTTTTGTTCCTGTTTTTTGTCTGGTTGATTTCTGGTTAACACTTAGTGGCGTTCAGGGGTTACTCCTGCCTCTACACTGAGGAATTACACCTGGCAATGCTTGGGGGACCATATGGGATGCCAGGGACCATGCCGGGCCCGCTGTGTGCAAGACAAGTGTCCTACCCACTGAAACATTAGGGAAATTATCATCTGGGTGTCAATTCCAAAGACTCAGATTAATTTATCTAGGTGCTGGGTGCCCAACTTTCTATCACCAGTGTGGATTAGACAGTGAAGCATAGCCCTCTTGAAAGTAGCTCTAAAAAAATGGGGGGCAGGTTTGGGTCACACCAGTGGTGCTCAGAGACCACTTCTAGTGTGCTCCAAGGGACCATCTGAGTTGCCAGAAACCATAGCAATCTTGTGCAATGCAAATGTCCTAACTCCAGTGTTGGCTAACATTGGGTTGTCCTTGCTCTTCCGGCAGGGAGCTTAGGTTTATTGAGTTACTCCCACAACAGTGCCCCTGAAGCACACCCAATTGCATCAAGCACTAATAACCCTATATTGCTTTTTCACTTTTCTTTATGTCATTTGCATGGTTTAGCAATGTCCTTTTTGTATAGACACAGGAAGACCATTATGCTATGCCTTGTAACATGGGAGTTATTTGACTCCAAACTACTATTTACTCCAGAGCATCTATATTTACTTAAGCCTCAGTTGCCCTTAGTTCCTCGCACTCCAAAAGTATGGTCCTGACAAAGGAACTGGATGAACATAGGGCAAACTGTAGGCTACCCTGGCATTGAAAGAGGACAAGCTAAGCACCATAAGTATAATAAGAGCTTGTCATGGGACAAACTCTGTCATGACCCAAAAAGAATTAACTGAAAAAGGACCTTGCTGGGGCTAGGGAACCTGGCCTGATGACTGCAGTCTGGGATATTTTGCGAGATGTCCCCAGGAAGAGCCAACCTGTAAGCCTAATTTATCTCTTACATTGTTCATATAAAATGATTAGAAATATCATAAGATCTCCTAGTAAAATGGAGCGTTGAACCCTCAGATGAGATTTTGTCCTTGAGTTAATCTCCTAGAGCTTCCCCTGAAGGAGTGGCTTTCCCTTTGTTTGTTGTTATGACAATGTTCAACCCACCTATGTGTACCCCAGCCTTCATGACTACTATGTAAGTATGCTGTAAGGGGTAGGAAGGCTAGAGGACTCTGAGGTCCATGAGGAGACAAGGGTGAAGGAATTATGATGACTGGGACTACAACCAAAACTTTGACTATGACTTTGCTGTAAAAGGAGATCTCTGACTACGCTGGGGAGGAGAGAGAAACTACCCACCAGCCTGCAGCCTGCTTCTCCATTCCCCCAGTCCTTCATCAACCTATCTGTCCTTCGTCTGTCCCTGGGCCGGCCAGGAGAATGGCTCTTGGCCACCAAACGCTCTCGTCCCCCACGCATGCCCTCGCTTTCTTTGGAAACTCACATCCCAGTACTATCTTTACAGCCCTTCAAAATTTTTTAAAGGTCAAACACTGCAGGTCGGAGATTTTTCTGTTTATACAACCAGTATGTAGCCCATATTTTACTATAAATAAGGTAATAAAAGGTGAATGAGAATATCACGTTTCACTCAAATGAGAGAAAGAATCCGGAGTTCTGACATCCATCGACGATCAAGAATCAGGGTCGCTGTCTCATTTGCCAAGGTGTCCAAAATCAGATGGGCTGGTCACGTAATGAGATTTAAAGACGACCGCTGGACTAAAGCTGTTACCGACTGGATTCCACGGGATGTCAAAAGACCGCGTGGCCGCCCACCTACCAGATGGTCAGACTTCTTTGTCAAGATCATGAACGATCGGTTTGAGGCCCTTCATGTTCCCGGAGCGAAGAGATGCCATTGGGCTACACTTGCACGCGACAGGGACAAGTGGAGACGTTACTGGCGCCCGCTCGAGCAAATCGACGACTAACGGGAAGTTAAGTGAAGTGTAAGTGATTAAGGTAATAAAATAGAGTGGGTAGAATATAGACAGGCTGGCAGGCATTTATTTTTAGTTGAAGAGTGATTAAAGGATCCCCATGTCACCCCCACTATGTCCATTTATGTGACTGTTCTATGACAACACATATTTGGGGTTAGATTTATCCTACATTCAAAATAATCTCTGATGGGGGCTGGAGCAATCGCACAGCGGGCAGGGCGTTTGCCTTGCACGCAGCCAACCTGGGTTCAATTCCCAGCATCCTACATGGTCCCCTGAATACCGCCAGGAGTAATTCCTGAATGCAGAGACGGAAGTAACCCCTGTGCATCGCCAGGTGTGAACCAAAAAGAAAACAAAAATAATAATTATAATAATAATCTCTGATTACAAACCATTATTAAACTGATGATCTAAATTGATTGATTTACAGGATCAAGCCACTCGCATATTTTCAAAAGTTGTGTCTGTGTGTGAGTGTGTATATGTGTGTGTGTGTGTTGTTAATAGATTATTCACAATTAAGTCTGCTCTCATTCCAGCCAGGTCAAGAGATATCACACAATAATCTTAAGACTGGGAATTATTAACCCTAAAGACCTACCTATGCCAATGGTACTAAATGAAATGTCAATTCGTCTCTGAAATAAATCAGAAGCTGCCTACTATAAAACTAAAAAAAAAAAAATCTGTAAATGGCCTGCAGATGTGAAATCCAAAATAAATGCTACAAAACCGTGTATCTATTTTTTTTGGGGGGGGGTCACACCTGGTGATGCACAGGAGTTACTCCTGGCTTTGCACTCAGAAATCACTCCTGGCAGTGCTCAGGGGACCATATGGGATGCTGAAAATAGAACCTGGGTCGGCCATGTGCAAGGCAAATGCCCTACCCGCTGTACTATCTCTCCAGCCCCAAAACCGTGTATCTATTTTTTAAAAGAAAAATCTCAGCCTGTCTGAAAGTAATTTTCATGCATAATGTTTGGAAAGCACAATCGAGGAAAAAAAATTTAAAAGAGAAGATTTAGATCACTCGTTCAAATTAACTACTTTTTTTTTATCTGCTACTGCCAAACAAATATGGTCTTCTACCATCACTTAGCACCACGACCAAGAAAGGAAAAAGGAGAAAGTAAGAATTATTTTCAAAATGAAATAATGCCCTCAAAAAGGTCACGACTTCAGAAAGTGGGACCTTGATCACAGGTTCTGGCACTGGCAAATCAGCATTCTAAAAACAGTATTTTGTTGTTGTTACTTGAGTTCTCAAAAGCAGCAGAAAAACAAAGTGAGGACTGGAGCTAGACAAAACTGTGTGGGATTCATCAAGTAACAATTCAATATAATTTTGTTGATTGAATACATATATACGCATTCCTCTTGGGTGACAGGGACTGTGCTGAACGGAGAAATATACCAGTGAGCAGAACAGAGCATCAAGCCAAGAGACAGAGACATCAACCTCATTTAATCCTCCACAGATACCCACACCAGCCAGTGAAGAATCCAGTCCTGCTCTCTTACCACTAAATGGGAACTTTTCTCTGTGGTCTAACAGTACTGAACTTCAGAGGGAGGTTGCTAATTGTTTTTAGTAAATTCGTAAATAAATAAACATCTAGAACAATAACTCATCAATTTCAGCAAGCTTAAAGGAACAGAATTTCAAACTTGAGACTACATCAAAACAAGTTTTCCTTCTGAACCAAGCCTAACTCACATATTCTCACTGCCTGTGGTTATCCAGCTACAGTAAGCTAAAAATATTTCCCTCTCTTCTAAATTGGGAAAAGCAAATACAACGAATAAATCAATTATGTATTATTTCTCTCATCTTTAATTTTTATGGCTGAAGCAAAGAAAAAGCATCTGTTTTATATCTGTATAGACACAGACAAGTCCATTTGCACAGCTTGTATCTTCACAGTAATAATAAGCTACATTTGCATCATCAGCAACACTCAATATTTTACTACTCCAGGCATTATTGTTTTCTTTTGGGGGTGAAGGAGAGGGCTGCAGGAGTGCTGAAAAGTAACCACAAGTAGAAGTAAAAGCTTTCCAAAAATACGTACAGGAAGGCTGCGCTTTCAATAGGACCACGCGGTGCTTACTTTGCAGTCATGCATCATTTATGTTTCTGAAACTTAACGTTAAATGAGATGCGAAAATAGAAAGCAAGCTTAAGTCATCCTGCAGATCTTGCTTCCCAAGCAAACACTCGCACACGCCTTCCCTCTAGGACCAACTCAAAGGGAAGGCAAACAAACTTGCCCCCACTCCACCGCCCCCCCCACCCCGGCAACTCCCCCCAATCATACTCATAGCAGGTGAACAAGGGCAATCAGAGGACGACCCAGCGCGTCGAAGGTCACCCTAGAGGGCAGACAGGTAAGAAACTTGCAGGTCTCATTTCTAGGCGTCTGGATCATTAAGTCTGAGCAGACTCGGGAAGGAAAAGAAAAACAAAAAACAAAAACACGGTTCTAGAAAAGTCACGCCGGGCTGGAGCGATAGCACTGCGGGTCCAGGGAGTTTGCCTTGCACGCGGCCGACCCGGGTTCGATTCCCAGCATCCCATCCCCGAGCATCGCCAGGGACAATTCATGAGTGCCTCGCCGGGTGTGACCCAAAAAGAGAAAAAAAAAAAAGCAAAAAAAAAAAGTCATGCCACCAGGCCCCAAAAGTGGCGGGAAGTTTGTCCGGCGGAGTCCCCCAGGCTGAACTGCAAACGGGGCGTCTGTGACAAGTGCTGGGCGGAAGAACTGCAGCTCCCGAAGATGCGCAGAGGCCACCGACCCCAAAGGCAGCGGCGGCCCGAGTCCGGGGGCGGGGGCTCCCGTCCCCGGCCGGGTCGCGCGCGGGTCCCCCACCCCCCACCCCCACCCCCAGCCCCGTACCTTGCAGCTGGGCGGAGAGCGAGTCCTGGTGCTGCTGGTACTTGAGCGCCACCGCCTCGGCTTTCTGCAGCTGCGTCTGCAGCTCGTAGTAGAGCATCGCGCCGTAGAGGAAGCCGAAGACCACGGCCAGGAGCAGCAGCGTCTGCAGGACGCGCTTCTGCTTTCGGGAGCACAGCCCGTTGCCCATGGTCCCGCCGCCCGCCGCGGCCGCGCCGGCGCCTCAGCAGCGGGGACCGCAGGCGGCGGCGGCGGCGGCCGCGCCCCGCATGGGCCGGACGCGCGGGGCAGGCGCGGGGGCAGGGGCCCGGCGGGGGGCGCGACGCGCTCGGCCCCCGGGCGCCGCGGGACTCGGGCGGGGGCGGCTCTGCGCGAGTGCCGGGGCCCGGGCGGGGGCCCTCGGCATGCTTCGGGCGCGGCCGCGAGCCGGGCCGGACGCCGGACGCCGCCCCCGGCCTCGCCCCCTCCCGCCCGCGCGGCTCCGAGTCCGCCCCGACGACGCTCGCGGGCCTCGCGGCGGTCCCCGCGGCGCGACTCGGCGGCCCCTCGGCCCGGAGCGGACGGGCGCGGGTCCACGGAGGGCTCCCGCTCAGCAGCCGCCGCGGAACGGGGCCCGACCTCGGCCGCCGGGGCAGGTCTGGGCACGGCGCGGCCGACGCTGAGGCTGAGGCTGAGCCGCCGCCGCCGCCGCCCCAACTTACGTGTCACCCGCGGCCCCGCTCCGCGGGCCAGCGGGATTCCGGGAGGAAGTCCCACTCGGGCTCGCCGCTGATTGGGCCCGGCCGCGCCCCGCTCCCGCCCCCCGGGGGAGGCAGTGCCGCGGCCGATTGGACGCCCGCCCTGTCTGTCCGACCTCCGGCCGTGGCCGCCCCCTTCTCGCGCGCACTAGCTCGGGCCAGGGGCCGAGTCTCTGGCCGCACCCACGTGCGGCGCGGTTGTGTGGGGACCCGCGGCGGCGGCGGCGGGGCCCGGGGCGGGGTTTGTCCCGACTTGGTCCCAACTAAGTGATGCGGCGCGCACGTGGATGTTTGTGAGTGTGTGCGGCGAGTTTGGGGTTCGCTGGAGATTTCACTGGGGATTTGCCCCGACTTGAGGCTGAAGGGGTGCGGCGCGCACTTGAGAGAGAGAGAGAGAGAGAGTGAGAGAGAGAGAGTGAGTCTGTGTGTCTGTGTGTCTGTGTGTCAGTGTGTTGCGGTTTGGTGGAAAGAATCGGCGCGGCGAGAGGTGGAGAGTTTGTGTGTACTGGGGATTTGTCTGGACTTGAAGCTAAAACGTTGCTGGTGCAGCGCGCCTATCCCTGTGGATTGAGCACAGGGGAGAAGAGAGAGAGAGAGAGAGAGAGAGAGAGAGAGAGAGAGAGAGAGTGTGTGTGTGTGTGTGTGTGTGTGTGTGTGTGTTTGCTACAGAGTGGATGAGAGCAACTGTTAACTCCCGTGTGTGTGTGTGTGTGTGTGTGTGTGTGTGTGTGTGTGTGTTTGCTACAGAGTGGATGAGAGCAACTGTTAACTCCCGCTGGTGCAGTGGGCAAATAGCTCCATCCGCAATTCAGCCTTGGTAGAGGAGCCCGAACCTCCTTCCTTCCCTTCCAACCCATCAGAGCCAGAATCAGCCTGGGGGTGTGTTGTCTGTTCCACAGATGGCAGAATTCGAGGCAGGAGACTTCGAAGAAACTAGAATGCTAGACTTGACTGCTTGACAGTGCACATGGGTTGTGGAAATCACTCTGCCTCGCAGAGAGGAAAGACATGATCTCATCTCATCTCATCGCATGTTTTTCCCGTAGCTGCAAAGAGAATAATTTAGAAACAAGTCTTAGCAGCCGAAATGAGTATGCATTCATTTTTGTCATGTGTGTTTGTTTTACTGATGGCAAAAATAAGTCATTTACATTTCTAGATTATATTTTAAAAGCCACCTAAGGTGCCTTATATAAAAAGAAATAGCCACAAATCTCATTTAAGAGAATCCAGAGTGCTTTTGTCCATTACTAGGTGAAGAAAATTTGAGACTGTGCATAAGTTAGACTTTTGTCTGTACTCTCGACCTAAATTCTAAGAAAGTAACTTGTTTCTCGGATGCTCAATAGTGTAGTGTAATGTATTACAGTGTTGCAGTCTTTATATTTTAACAATTTTAGTTCTCACCACCAAAAATTAGTTTGGCAAATTAGTGCTCAAAACAGTAACAATAAGTCTCACAATGGAAATGTTACTGGTGCCTACTCGAGCAAATCAATGACACCGGGAGGACAGTGCTACAGTCCTCAAAAGGAGGGTAGAATCTGTTTGACAAAGTAAATAAATATAGTCCCTGATGTAGAATGGTAGGTGCACTCTGCAGGAGGAGAATGCTAAAAATAATAAAATAAAACATAACCTGACAACAACATTTATATCCATGAATATTCAATGTGCTACGCTATGTTTTTCTCTAATAAAGATGTTGCTCAAAATATTTTCATTTACATATCTCAGAATTTATCAGTCAAGTATAGGCTTACATTTTAAGTTAAATGTTTTAAGTGACTAACTCTAGGTCATGCTGCTAGAGTGAACATGAGTTTTCCTGTGCTGATGGGATCTTGAGAATTTTATAAAGGATTTATATACAAAACTCAGAAAGTTAGGAAGTTAGAGTTTATTGCACAATTTAAGTAGATGGGTATGTATCCCTCCCAAATGTCCAGGCCTCTCCTTTACCTGTGTGTGATATCACTTGTTCTGTCTTAGGATGCACAGTTCATTGTATGACTTCTGAAGGCATGTCATTGGGCCTCTCTTGAACTGTACCCCAGCAGTTCCCTGACATTTCCACTTTCCTTAGTCTCTGGCTACATACCTGGGTGAGATCCCTGTGCTCTGTACCTATTGCTGGACTTCTCCCAACTGTGCCCCAGCAGTTCATGTCCTAATGCCCCAGCTTTCCTAGTCTCTGGCCACGGCCACATGCATGTGGGTCAGACTCCTGTGCTCAGCATCTTGTCACTACCTGGGCATCGGAGCCAAACCTGATTCTGAACTTTACTAGGCATCTAAGCCCTACTGTATTCTGCCCATCTGGGCCTCTGAAGCCTGCCTGTACTCAGCAACCTATCTGCATGCAGGCCCACCTGATCTTATAGTCCGTCTGGACACATCCAAGGAGATTGCGAAGAGAGGGAGAGCTAAGTACGTGCCAAAAGACAGAAAGCAAATGGCTTAAGGTTTCCTTATGTCTGCCACACCCTCCCACCTTAGCCACTCCATTATCTATTCTGATCAGATGCCTTTTCAGCTTTAAACTGACCAACTAAAATCACCTGGTGTTTCACCTTCCGTTTTCACTGTTTAGGAATAGCTGAGGAGTGTGGGGAGATAGCCCAAGCAGTAGAGCATTTGCCTCCCAAATAGCTGAGTTCACTCCCCTGCACTTCCCCACCCCAAAAAAGAACTGAGCAGTATTTGAATCTAGAAATGTTATTTTTACCTCTTTAATAGGAGGGAAATTCTGCACTTACGTATGTTAACAATTTGTATGTGGTTCATTAAAATGGAAACTTAGCTTTATTTTTTTTAATTTTTTATTGAATCACCATCGGATACAGGTACAAAGCTTTCGTGATTTTCTGTCATACAATGGTCAGACACTTGTGCCTCCACTAGTGTACACTTTCCACCACCAATGTCCCCAGTATCCCTCCTGTCCCACCCCATCCCACCAATGTCCCCAGTATAGCCACCCCTGTCCCACCCCACCGCCTGCCACTATGGCAGACAATTTCCTTCTTTCTACTTTTGGGCACTGTGGTTTGCAATACAGATACTGGGAGACCATCATGTTTGGTCCTTTATCTACTAGAGAACTTAGGTGTTTTGGGGGGGGGGGTTGTTTGTTTTTTGCTTTTTGGGTCACACCCAGTGATACACACGGTTTACTACTGGCTCTGCGCTCAGGAATAATGCCCTGGTGGTGCTCAGGGTACCATATGGGATGCTGGGAATCAAACCCAGGTCGGCCGCGTGCAAAGTAAACGTCCTACCCACTGTGCTATTGCTCCAGCCCCCAAATTTTTTATTTGAATCCCTGTTACAAGTGAATTTTCATATTTTTTCATTTACATGGGAAAACCAACACTAAGGAAAAGGAGATGAGCATTAAATATAAGTTTAAGCAAATTAGTAGGAACAGTGATGGGAATTAACTAGACTTACTGTGATCACACCCAGAAACCCCACCCTGCCGGTACCAGATAAATACCTCATCAGCCGAACCCCACTACCTCCACTACCTTGACTGTCCAGCCACTGCCATGCTCCAAGCCACTTTCTGAACGCTTGGGTCTAGACTCACACGCGAGTGAAGCCCCACAGAACCAGGTAAGCGGAACGTTGTGACCTTGGACTCCAAGCTCAACGGGACCTGGAAACAGATATCCTCTGCCTGCACCCACCAATCTCTGGCGACCCAGGGATCAAACCCAGAAGCCCTACCCTGCCGGTACCAGATACTCATCAACCAACCTCCACCACCTCCACTACCAAGCCACCACCACGCTCCAGGTCACTTTCCTGACCGCGAGGCCACAAAGTGGCAACACGACACATCATAAGATACTTCATACCTATCTTCCAAGATTACCACACCATATTTGATGGGGCTCAAATATGGTTTGAATCATGGGAACACCTTCAAGGGCCATTAGAGGCTGCCTTAAAAGCCTCTATACCTCTCAGAGAGCCCGGCAAGCTACCAAGAGTATCCCGCCCACACAGAAGAGCCTGGCAAGCTATCCTTGGCATATTCGATATGCCAAAAACAGTAAATACAATGGGTCTCATTCTCCTGACCCTGAAAGAGCCCCCAATACAGCAGCATTAAGAAGGATGAGGAAGGAGAGGCTGATAAAATCTCAAGGCCAAACCAGGCTGCCAAAATGAAGGATTAAAATGATTGTACTTTCAATGCATGTATGCTGGCATCGGATGAATCCATTGAGGACCTGATGGTGAAAGTGTGAAAAATCAAGTATGACATCATTAGTCGGACAAAGACGAGAAGGCATCAACCACATCAAAACATTTTCGACACTGGAGAAGTGTCCTCAGAACATGAGACAAAAGAGGCGTCAGTGGTGTCAGTGTCCTTGTCAACACGAACTTGGCCATGAGCATTGATTCATTCAAATGCCTAACAACCCGAGTCAGACAATTACACTTGAATAGATGTGGTTCACTGCCGGCAGTTTCTATCTTCGTTGTCTACGCGCCAACATCCAATTAAGATGAAGAAGAAATTGAGAAGTTCTACATGGATCTGGAGAAGTTCTATAAAGAAGACCACACATTCACAGGATCATTGTCGGTGATTTTAATGCCAAGATAGGACCGAGAAGATCAACTGAAGAACTCCACATTGGGACCCATGGCCTAGAATGGAACGAACAGGGTGAGAGACTATCTGAGTTCATCATGTCGACCAAGATCATCCATGGCAACTCACAGTTCCAGAAGGCCTAATCTAAACGTTGAACATGGGAGTCTTCTAGTGGACCGTTCCACAATGAAATTGACCACATCAAATTCAATCGATGGTTTTGCCTGATCAATGTCGCTGTTGTCCCAAAATTCTTAATGGGATTGGACCACCGTCTCCTTCATGCAAAATTCTACATCACAGAGTGGGGAGAAAGGGCTACAAAGTTTAAGAAGAGAACTCCCAGATGACTGCTTTCTGATGTCCTGATGGATCTGTCACATCTTCCAGAAGGGCAATGGAGAAGATTATCCATGACTTCTACTCAGATCTCTTCTATAGCCACATCCACCTGCCAAATTCCGAAGAATGGATATGTCCTTACCAACATTCTCCCTTCCAAAATCCAACACGCCATTTCATCGGTAAAGAAGCAAACAGCATCCAGCATAGACAAGATCAGAACCGAACTCCTGAAGAATCTGCCATCAGTACTCATCAAAACACTGGCTCGGCTCTTCATACGCTACCTATCTGAATTCAAGGTTCCATCCCAA